AGTAAGTAAACCATTTAACAAAACAATATTACTTTGCTAGAAAGGACCGCTAAGCGCATTTCATTGTACTGAGCAGGTAAACCGAGCCTTTCATGGTTCGACCCTTTTTGTTATTTTTGAATGACACAGCTGACGGATCAAGGAAAGGCAACTAACGCTTAGGTTAGTTAGTATCCGCATCAAGATATAATGGGTAGTCATCAAAAATTTCATACAAGATAATTATTATCTTTTACAGTAAATTTCAGTTAGAGATTCACAAATGAGTTAACTACACTTTTTAGTTATTAGTAAGTAAGCTGCGCGCACTCATTCAGAAGAGGAACTTGAATCTTCTGAATCGTTTAAATGAATTATTAGAGGTTCAATTTGGGTATCGATGACATTGTCCAAATCCCACATTTTGACCTCAACCTTCTCCCGAACGTGGCGGATACAGTTTTTCCATTCCTCTGCCGTAACTCTATTGACTGCGATGTGAAAGAGATTTTTAACATCAGAAAATTTATAAGTATTATTATTCGACGCCACGTATTGCTTTATGTTGGCCCAAATCAGCTCAATAGGGTTCAGCTCACAATGGTAGGGCGGCAGTCTCAAGACAGTTTTATTTTGTTTTTTGGCCATTTCGTCGATCATTTTAAAATCGTATTTGTATTTATGTCTATTGACTATACTTATTAATTCACCCTTGACCATTGTTTCATCAAAATCGATCTGTTTTGAGGCCAGCCATTGTTGTATGTTTGCTTTTTTAGTTGCCATTGTGGGAATTTTTTCTATTTTTCTAGAATGGTACGGGGCATTATCCAGTACAATAACAGCGTTATTCTCCAGCTTTAGTAACATTTTGGAGAACCAATTTTCAAAGGAATTGCCGTCCATCTCCTCATGATAGTACCCTGTCTTTTTTGATTCAAATGCCCACAGTGCTTCGGGAACAAAGCCGTCTTCACTACCTACGTGACAAATGATCAGCCGTTTGCCTTTTCCTGGAAATAAATTATTCCTTACACTATGGATTGATTAAATTTGAAGGAATGAGGCAATTGAGTTCATTTAGCTGAATTTAAGAGTCACGGAATGCTGATCAAAAACTGAAAAACGTAGAAAATTGAAGTTTGCAACTTCTCAAAACCCACTCAAAGCAAATTGACTGCACCCAAAAATGATAATAAATTTCAAAATAACGCTTAAAAGAGGGTCGAAGTTTTTTTCCTGATGACTACACTGCGAATGCACCATTTTTGGAGAATATCACACATTATCTGCTATCACATCATATTATTTGCCCGAATTTATCAAAATTAAATTGCCGGATAGATGGAGCTTACCTGCAGGATTTTTCAATCCAGCCGAAAGACCGTCTAGAAAAGCCTGCCTTGATGATGTTACTGATTTGTCGACCCAAACTTTCGCTTGAGTATGTCCAGCATTCACCCACGTTTCGTCTAAATAGTAAATTTTTCTTTTTTCATCGCGAAACTTCCGAATCTTCCTAAGGTATTCCCTTCTCCACACAACAATTTCTTCTTTCTCTATTAACATACTGTTTCTTCCCCGTTTCAAGAATCGAAAATTAAGTTCCTTCAAAAGTTTTCGGAATGTGGTTCTTTTAAATGATGGAAGATCCTCATCAGCATTAACTAATCTATCTACTGTAGGTATCTCATTTCGGAAGAAAAAATTATGCACTTTCCTCCTGATGGCAGTTCTGTCAAAGTGATCTACTCCGTCCGTTATCCTTTTTCTAGCAGGATACGGTTTTGGCTCAGAAAGTGAGTGAGTGCTCCTATATTCCTTAATGATCCTATAAACACTGGACCGACATACTCCAGAAATATGTGCTACCTTACATATAACTTCGTCCACGACCAAATCGGGTTTTTCTTGAATTTGGTTTTTGTATATATTTAATATTATTTGTTTTTCATTTGCACTTAAATGTAGCTTCTTAGCCCTTTTTTTGGGTGGGGTTGCGCTGATGTCAACCACTTCGTCGGCTGTATCTGTGTCAGACATCGTATCTTAGGCAATATATAAACAAAACGTTCCACTCGCGAAAAACGAGTATACGCTACTGAATGCGTAATGCGTATGCAATGCAATCCTGTGCGTGAATTAACTGTTAGATGTTAGATGCCTGTCGTGTCATCTACAATCACGTTTACAAGTCCAAACCTCTGCAGATTCGTAGAGCGCCGACGACTGCTAGTGACCTTGAATTTGTCTGTAGATCGATGTTACTCCAGTCAATTTAGATTCAAAGTGGATGTTTTCTAAACCAATTTGTTGTTCCTACATCAAAAATATATCGATGATGTTTTGTACTGGGAGCTCATGAAAGATCAAGGTAACTTATTTTAACAGTCATCCTTTTTCTAGTCTCAAGATGACACGAAAAAGGGTCTGTGGATTCACTAGAAATACACTGCCGAGGATGTTTAGACCTAAAGTGACTGGAGTATATCCGTGGATGCTTTCGAGGGATCTGTTCACGTGCTGATCACTGTTTACGTTTAATGTCTTTCTTCAGCGCCCAGAGATTAGAATATCAACCTTTAACGCGGTAGGACGTACTTTTACTTTTTTGATCAGTTTTAATAATGGCGAGTTACCGTAACGAAGAATACGCTGATATTCTGTTTTGTTATGGTTTAAGTGATGGAAATTCCGTTGAAGCCAGGCGAGAATACGAAAACCGTTTTCCGAATCGGCGAATACCGAGTCATCGAGTATTTGCTTCTGTGTACCAACGCGTCAAGGAAAGAGGACAGGTTCATGAGAGACGTCATGATGCTGGTTTGGTTGTTTGACGACGAAGATCGAGAGGCAATACTGGAATGCTACGGCAGAGACCCGACGACGTCTACACGAGAGCAAAGCAGCTTGGTTTAACTCAGTGGAAAGTTTGGTTCGTTTTGCATTCGGCGAGACTTTACCCTTTCCATTACACACCGGTTCAAGTATTAGAAGAAGGAGATCCAGCAAGAAGAATTGATTTTTGTCGATACATGCTTCATCGGGATCAAGAAGAAAACGACTATTTAACTAAAATATTGTGGACCGACGAGTCTAAGTTTGACAGAGAGGGGACCACAAATTATCACAACTTACATTATTGGGCCCCACGAGAGGCAAATCCCCACATGGCTAAGCCAAGAGCCCATCAAAGAAGATTTTCGGCAAACGTGTGGATGGGAATCATTCATACGTATCTAATTGGACCAGTTTTTTTGCCTGACAACCTGAATGGCGAATCCTATGAAAACTTTTTGAGATCCGAACTCTGGAAGTATCTCGAAGACCTGCCTCTGAATATCAGGATGCAGATGATCTACCAACACGATGGCTGTCCCGCGCATTTCCGTCTGGGTGTTAGACAGTGGCTGGACGAGAAATATCCTTGTCGCTGGATTGGCCGAGGTGGACCGACACCGTGGCCAGCGAGGAGCCCAGATTTAACACCGTGTGACTATTATTTATGGGGGCACATGAAGTCACTGGTGTACGCTGAGCTCATAGACACTCTTGCACAGTTGAAAGAAAGAATTATTGCTGCTGCTGACACTATCAGAGGACAACTAACTGGCCGCATCACGCGTACCAACATGAGAAAAAGACTACGGGCTTGCATAAGAAACGGCGGGCGTCAGTTCGAACAACAATTGCAATGAATTTTACCTTCATTTCATTATTGTATTTTACTTACCAATTGTAGTAACTTTTAGTCAGTTTTTATTATTCTGTAGTACAATTACAACTGTGTAAATAATCTAATCGTGTAACTTAACCGTAGTTTAAAATAATAACTATCCCATAGCTTACAGTTACATTATTTTCACAAAAACACTTTCTTATCAATCAGAGAGTTGTGAAAATAGGAGACAAGCCATTGGTAAATTTACTCCCTATTGTTGTATTACAATACATTATGTTTAGTTTCACACAGTTTTTGTGCACTTATCATACCAATTTAGATTCCTTATGAAACAAGGATATTATTTAAATTGTTTGTACGTTTTTTTGTATACTGATTTTTTTGTAAAACACCTTACTTACTGTAAAACGTTATTTGTTTTTCTTAGTTAAACATTATTGAATGAAAATAAATACGTTGTTTGGTATTGCTTTCGAATCTTTTTTAATTTATAATAGTTAATTATTGAAATAATAACCCAAAACCACAAAAAACAAATGTTTAATCGCCAACTTTTTTCTCTCTCGACTTTTTTACTCTGAAATATGGATTGTTTTTAAAAAAATCTTAAATCTTCAATAACTTTTCAACCTTTGAATATAGGGTATGGTATTATATACTAAATTTCGATAGCAAAGGGGCTGTACTATCACCTCCTAAAATGTTTTACACCTATTTACCTGTCACCCTGTAGAATGAAAGTTGAAAAAATTGGTGTTGGACACTTTTATAGGAAAAAATGGCGTCGATCAGATTGACTCAGTTTATAATGTTTTAAGTTCAGCGCAATTTAAATTCTTTGAGAAAAAAGTCAGTTACAAACATGAACAATAAAGAAATTAAACGGATCAGGTCATTCAAACAGGTGCATATAATCAGTTCATAGATATTTCCCCCTGGCCTACCGGTAGTTACTGACCATCTGGCAACGTTGTCCCTTTCCACATCTGACGGGGAATTAGTCAACGCGACCGGTACGCCGGGCGGTGAGCGTAGGTAGCTGGAGTACGCAATTTGAATGCCAAAAGATATGTGAAATTTGGTTGATAGGTGCATAGAATTAGCGGAAAAATTTGATATACATTACAAACAACAATCCCGGAATTTCGAGCCCTCTATAACGTCGAAAAACGAAGTTTGAGCGATTTTTATGATTTTCATGTTTTTGTCTCTAGCTTCGCCGCCACTGGACCGTTTTTCAAAAACTACGAAGCTTTTTTTGATCATTTGAATTGGAGCAGATCTTGATTGTGAAAATCATCGAGTCAATTCACTTGACGCATGTTTTTTTTTGTTTCAGATGCACTTCGCCTATACGGAAACCGCCTTTCAGAATACGAAAAGACTGAAATAGAAAAATATTCGAAAATATGGTATCTCGGTCTATCAGCCTGCAAAATACACGGCGAACAGGGAGGCAGCCAAAACGGAGGTTATGATGATGACAGTGGCAGTTACAATAAGGTTAGTTTTACAGCGGAAGCCGGTATCCTGCTTACCGGCAACCAGCGCCGATCGGTACCGAATTTCGGCGCTGGTCATGGACACAGCGCTGACGAGAAAAAGGCAAATAAAACCGGCTTCTTGTCAGTTCCAGCGTAGTCATCGCGTCAACATGGGGTCTAGCTCATCTGAAGATGCATTGGACAGCTCAGTAACTAAGATAATCACTAGAAACAAAAGTTGGTGAGGGTACATTATTATTCAAGGCGTTGAAAAATTACTCCGACCGCTTGTTGTATAGTGATGGGCTAAACTTGTCTATATCCATTATCCACATCAACCTGCTGTGACAACCGGCGAGAAAGAACTAAATAATCTTTCCGGCAAAACCTGCAACGCCGACTGCCTGCGCCGACAAGCCTGAGCCTGTCTCTATCGTGTTATCGCCAACTCAAGAGCATATTATTATAAAGGGTGCAGCAGAGAGGACGGACGTTGTTTTTGGGCTGGGTAGTACTCTCCGTCTACAAGAGAGGTGGGGAGGGTGCCGTTTGATTCGTGAGATCCTAGCATTATTTTACCAGTTGTCGTTATGGAGCCTTGGATGGTGGAGCACCGCGTTTTCGCCTATGATTGTTTCGTCCGAAATAATGAGTCAGTCATCGTCGTACAGCGTGAGTTTCGTCGCCACTTCAACATTCATCGGAATAGAGCTGTTCCCTCTCGAAACACCATCCTTCGTTGGGTTGAATCACTTCGCAGGAGTGGTGAACTGATCGACAGAAGACCAAGAGGAGCGCCGCGAACAGTTCGAACTCCTGAAAATGTTGAACGCGTTCGACAGGTCTTTCTTCGCAGTCCGACTCGATCTGCTTGGAAACATGCTGCTGCACTTCACCTTAGTGATCGTTCGGTAAGGCGAATTTTGCATATGGATCTCCGCTTTCACCCCTACAAATTGGCCATTGTGCACCAGTTACGGGGATTATGCACAACGAATGAACTTCGCACGTGAGATGGAAGCACTGAACCTCATTTTGTTTATGAGTGACGAAGCCCACTTTCACCTAAACAGCATGGTTAACCAACAGAATTTTCGTTATTGGGCTAATGAAAATCCGCAACAGTTACACGAAAGACTGCTGCACAGCCCAAAAGGCGCACTGTATCGCAAACTTGCATCATTGGCCCTTACTTCTTCGAAGACGGTAATGGTCGTGATGTTACCGTGAACTCAGAGAGCTACGTCGACATGATCACCAACTTCTTTCTCCCTGAATTACGATGGCGACGTGTTAAAATCCGACGTGTGTGGTTCCAGCAGGATGGGGCGACCGCCCACACAGCCCGAGCATCCATGGACGTTATTCACCCTCTCTTCCCTGATCGCCTTATTTCCACCTCAAGGCTAGAGTATACGCGAACAAGCCCCGAACTCTGGACGAATTGAAGGGCGAAATTCGCGTGGAAGTTGCCCAAGTTGAGATAGCGATGTTGGAGAGAGTCTACGCGAACCTCCAAGAGCGCCTCTAGCACTGCATCAACGATTTCGGCCACCACATGCCTGATGTGATTTTCCACACTTGACTGTCTCAAATGATATTTCCTTGTGAACCTGATTCCATCAATAAATTTGTTTTCGATTAAAAATTAACTATTTTATGATTTTTTTTAAAACCGTCCATCCTCTCTGCCGCACCCTGTAGAAGCTTCTAGGCGCCGATCGGCGCTGGTTGCTGGTAAGCAGGAAACTGGATTCCACTGTGTTTTCGACCTAAGGGTGTCCCAACAGATACTTCAGGATTTTGTTTTATACATACGCTCCAAAGTTCATTCTTCTACTAAAATTTCCATAACCTTCTGGGAAAGCAAAATCCACCACCAGACCGAAGACCTTCTCCACCACAAACTCATAAAACACTGCACGTGAGAAATGTTTTAAGATTGAGAGTTAAGTAATTATCACACCATTTTTTGATTGATTGTATATCATTGTCAATTATTTACCTTATTTTATCTATACCTGCGTCTTGCCCAAGTATCGTCGTATCGTCAGCTGAACTATGAATGTTATGTTTAAATCTATCAAGTCGTTAATATAAACTAGAAATAGGATCGGGCCTAGTACTGATCCCTGAGGTATTCTGCTTTCATATTTATCTTGATGCTCTCACAGGTTGGGATCAATTATTTAACTGTGTTTTGATTGAGTGGGGCTTCAGTACAGTCACGTTTATTTAATTTTTTCAATAGTATATCATGATTTACACAATCAACAGCTTTGTAAATGTCAAAGAGCAATTGAAATCTGTTTATCGTTTAAATTTGAGTATAACTAACGTGTCAAAATCACATAACTTTTTTCCTAGTATTTCGATCACTTACCAGTAATTTGAATTTCTCTTTATTAATGATAGCGTACGGATTCCTAGGATCTACTTATAGGCAACCAGTGATGTTGTATGCGTAGGTTCGGTTGCGGAACTTTTCTTAAAATTCGTGTCGGTCATTTCCTGCTGAATCCTTGGTTGAGCAGGAGTGTCGGCCCTTCATTTGCTTTCCAAATTTTGGGATATTGGGCCCCAATCACCAGGTTATGGAGCACTACCCTGTTCTTACCTACCTTACTAGTTTGTTTTGGGTGTTGTTTGGTGCTACTCCGTTCATTTTTATGGGATTTTGAATGGAAAACCATACATCCAGACTCCTCCACAGCTTTGTAGCTATTTTGTAGCCGGTTATATTTATATTATTTATATAAAGATAGCATCCATGGTACAAAGATCCACGTTCGCGTTTGATAGCCCAGTCGTCACTGTGGCCGCTAGAGGCTGACGTTTCTGGCGGTATAGCGCATGTGTGTTGTCTGCTGTCAAAGCCTAGACGATGCTGATGACGTTAATCATTATTACCTAATCGGGGCCATGAAAATTACATATTTGAGTAACGCTCAGAGTGAACATTTGCCGTTTCATCATCGCAATGAAACTAAAAAAGAACTCTCTTTCCAGGTCCTACATGATCACATCGGTTACCGCTACGAAATCCTGGAAGTGATAGGCAAAGGCAGTTTCGGCCAGGTGATCCGAGCTCTTGACCACATGACCAACCGACATGTGGCGATCAAGATCATCAGAAACAAGAAGCGGTTCCATCATCAGGCGCTAGTCGAGGTCCGCATCCTGGACCACCTCAGGAGAAAGGATAAGGAGTGCAACCACAACGTCATACACATGCTGGAGTACTTCTACTTCAGAAATCATTTGTGCATAAGTTTTGAACTGCTTAGGTGAGTAGACTATTTGGGGTCTTTGCCCGTTATACCGTATTACAAATAAGATATATGTTCTCAATAAACAAACTAAATCATTACTACTAAACAGAAATAATTATATCACTGATTCATAGCATTGAACATTTCTTTTCTTCGATGTTTTTTTTGTGGTGAGGGGGGAATGCGTTTACGCACCATACCATAGCCCGAGCTACGGCGTGTGTGGGACTTCAGGTTGTCTTGAGGAGACCACCTAATATCCACTAAACCCTAACCTCCGCGTGGCCCGACTCATCAGCGTCTCGGTAGGCCATGTGTTGTGCGTGACCTGCGGTCTGCTACAACGTCTCCTCATGTGTTTCAGTCTCTGGGAACGCCGGGTTGGTTCCCTTTACCTCGCACATTCTATCGATGTCGTTAAGCGATCATCGATAGAGGGTCTGCTTGAAACTCTTGTTTTCGAAAAATCAAGAGTTTCAAGTCCTCTTACCTATATATTGTTCCTGGTCCTGGTCCTGAAGGGTCCAGGTCCTGAAGGGTCCTGGTCCTGGTGGGTCCTGGTCGTGGCGGGTCCTGGTCCTGGTTGGTCCTGGTCCTCTGCATCCACGCCATGGGGGGGGGGAGCAACCGCGGGTTCTCCTAGTCTCCTAGTCAAGGTTCCAGTTAGCGGGTGCCAACTGAGACCTTGGTCTAGGATACCTGGTTCTGCGGTTGCGAGGCCTCTCGTCCGGATCGTAGTCCATGAGGAATCTTAGCTGCTCGTTCGGGTGGTCCTGAGCTTTCTGGAAGGTCTTCTCCGCTTTTTTCCTCATGTACTCGTGAATGGTGTCCCAGTGCAGGTCCCTACGCAAGGTTGAGTTTCTTACGTAGGATGGTGCACTGGTGGCGATCCGGAGTAGCTTCATCTCTAGAGCAGCAAGTCGCTTGCGGTAGCTGGGGGCAGCGCCCCCCCAGACCGCGGAGGCGTAAGCGAGCTGAGGTCTGGCGATGGCCTTGATCAGCCGTAGCTTGGTCGCTAGCGGCATCCGGCTGTGTCTACCCAGTAATGGGTAGAGTTGAGCCATGGCTGCTCTGGTCTTTGCGATGACAGCTTCTATGTGGTCTTTCCAGGTGAGGGACTTGTCAAATACGATCCCCAGATATTTGACTTTGTCGCTCCACTGGATATCTTCGTCGAAGATGGATGCTTCGAGAGGTCTTGCAATCCTTCTTCGTTGGATGAAGATTGCCTGCGTCTTCTGGACGTTAATGCGGATTTTCCATTTCACGCACCAGTCCTGGATGTGGTCCAGTTCATCCTGTAGTCTCCTACGGATGATCTCGGGTCGTCGATGCTTGGAGGCTATAGCAGTGTCGTCTGCATATAGGGCCAGCATTGTGTCAGCTGTCTTCGGCACATCGTGAGTATAGATGTTGTAGAGCAGGGGGGCTAAGGCTGACCCCTGGGGCACGCCTGCTTCCAGCTGTCGACTTGTTGAATGGCATGTACCAATCTTCACCGTGAACCATCTTTGTGTTAGATAGCTCTGGATCAGTTGGCACATGTTCGCATCGATTCCGGCGGCATCCATTTTGGCGATGAGTCCATCGTGCCAAACTCGATCGAAGGCTCGTTCCACGTCCAGCAGGACGAGACCTGTTGCCTCCTGGAGGCGTTCGCGTCGACTACCCTTCGATGGCCGGCAATCGTCTGCCTTTATGCATTTTTGGGCTGTACTCGATGCTTCCATATAGTTCGAAGGTATTTCGAGGTTTCTTCTGGAGGTTCTAGACTCGGTAGTTTAGATGGTCGCCGATAGATGGCGCTGTTAATTGTTTTCGCTAACGCCAGCAGATGGTGCTCGCGACATCGTCAGATGTTACTCACAGTACCCTACCAGGATCGTACTAGGATGATTTCCAGCGTTGCTTCTGCTTGTTTTTTGAAGTGCCCATTATTCGCGGTGTGCATAGTGGAAGGTACAAACACAAATATGTCTATCCGACAGCGCAGGTGGCGCCGTCATCGCACAGCCGGTGCGTAATGTGTTATGAACGTAGCGCATTTTGCTGGTGAATCTACGGTTTGTCCTGGTCAGGCGATGTCGCCAAGAGATCATTACTTGGAGTTGTTTTTATACAGGCCGCGGTAGAGAGGACGGACGGTTTTAAAAAAATGATAAAATAGTTAATATTTAATCGAAGACAAATTTATTGATGGAATCAGGTTCACAAGGAAATAACCTGGGCGACTTCCACGCGAATTTCGCCCTTCAATTCGTCCAGAGTTCGGGGCTTGTTCGCGTATACTCTAACCTTGAGGTGTCCCCATAAGAAAAAATCGCATATGGATAAATCTGGGGACCGAGGAGGCCAATGAACATCGCCAAACCTGGAAATAAGGCGACCAGGGAATAGAGGGTGAATAACGTCCATGGATGCTCGGGCTGTGTGGGCGGTCGCCCCATCCTGCTGGAACCACACACCTCATAAACAAAATGAGGTTCTCATTTTGATCGATCAGTGCTTCCATCTCACGTGCGAAGTTCATTCGTTGTGCATAATCTCCGGGCTGTAACTGTTGCACAATGGCCAATTTGTAGGGGTGAAAGCGGAGATCCATATGCAAAATTCGCCTTACCGAACGATTACTAAGGCCTGTCTTCTGTTAATCAGTTCACCACGCCTGCGAAGGGATTCAACCCAACGAAGGATGGTGTTTCGAGAGGGAACAGCTCTATTCCGATGAATGTTGAAGTGGCGACGATGACTGACTCATTATTTCAGACGAAACAATCATAGGCGAAAACGCGGCGCTCCACCGTCCAAGGCTCCATAACGACAACTGGTAAAATAATGCTAGGATCTCACGAGTCAAACGGCACCCTCCCCACCTCTCTCGTAGACGGACGCGGAGAGTACTACCCATCCCAAAAACGTCCGTCCTCTCTGCCGCACCCTGTACAACGTGTCCTTGCAGTTGGGACTTTACAAAGCATACAGTTTATGCAACGATAAGCAAAATGCAGAACTTGCATGTGGTAACATTCAGAAATAATTCGTCAGCTGAGCACCATTCAAATATATTATTAGACAGTCATTAATACTGTTGATCTGAGCATATATTTTCAAATCATCGGTAAACAACAGTGAACGGCAAGTTAAACAGTTACGGAGGTCATTAATAAAATAAAGAAATCGGATAGGCCCTAAATTTGATCCCTGTGGTATGCCGGACGAAACCGAGTATTGTAAATATCTGAAAATGTTGTAAGGTACGTAGTAGAGTTTTATCACGCAAGTCGGATAAATGAATTCCAATAGATGATTGCTAGAGCCAAAATGCTGCATTTTACCGATGACTCTTCTTCGTCCATCTGGCCCTTATCATCTAATTCTAAAGTCTCCGCGATTTACTGGGTGAGTTTAGTCAAGTTAGACATTGGAGTTGCGATATAATGCAAAGAATACCTGGAAGAGAACCTTTGCACTCCTCGGAACCCGTGCATGAGTGTTATTATGTATAATTTTCCTTTTAACTAGACTGCCATACGAATATGAACGATGCACAAACTGATAATTTGTAATGAGATTCGCTACCGCACTGTAATGGAGTTTGCGGATTGTTATAATGATGCGGCACGCTTGTACCGTTAGGATTACCACTAACACTGTACAGGGTGTCCCAAAAAGAGCACGCCAGAGTGACAGTGGGAGGTAGATTTGTTTCAGATCAATCATATAAAATCAACATACAGTATATTCAGATAAGAGATAGACCGGACATAAACAAGACCACGTGATCATCGAACGCTGTAACATTCGGCAGGGACGTATTAAGAGTCACGCAGTACATATTTTAGATAGTAGATGCTGCTTTGCGTAACTTTGTAGTAAATTAGCACAATTCGATGTGTATACGATTGGTGATGGATATAGGATCATGTGGGGGTGGGGTAAGAAATATATAATGATGTAAATATACATAAGGGTTTCAAAATTTTCGCTTCGATTTCCAGCTTCGGATGCCGCCTGATGTTTGGTGAAATACAGTCGAATATAATCTCAAAATGGCGTTTAAATTAGCCTAAATTAAAAATAATCGTATATCTCTTAAAATTGCTTTTAGAATATTGATTAGTATATTTTTTGATTTCTAGGTAAATATGTAACCAAATTAAAACGTTCCAAACAAAAAAAAATGTGCATGGTTGAACATTGTCAGAAAGTAGATTCTTGAATAGGTTTTGCCAAAATGGGTTCAAAAATGTCAATAATTAATTAAAAAATACAGTAGCTTTATAATTACTTATAACTTACCGAATTTGATGAACGACATCTTTTATTGGAAAGATGAGCTTGATGAGCTTTCATCATCGCTACTGTCTGAAGCACTAACGTCAATAATGAATGGCTCGACTTGTTCCTCTAAAATATTGTCCAGTTCCCACATTCTCTTTTCAACTTTGTCTTTCACGTGCTTAATACAGTTTTCCCATTTTTGCGCTGTTATTAATTCTAGTGCTTCTTTGAAAAGTCCTTTGAGGTCACAAAATTTAAAAGTTGTATTGTGCTTAGCTATATAATTTTTAACCTCTGCCCATATGAGCTCGCAATGGTATGGAGGTAAACGGAGCACAGTTTTATTTTGACTTGCTGCCATTTCGTCAATGGCGTATTTTTGATATTCCGCCTTGTGATCCTTGACAATTCTTAATAATTGTACTTTCAGCATTGCTTCTTCAAAGTTGATATTTTTCGAGCGGAGCCAATTTTGAACATCAACTTTCCTTGAAGCCGTTGTTGGGACCTTCTCCATTATCCAACACAATTACTGCGTTTTCCTCTAAGTTCGGTAAAATTTTTGAAAACCACTGTTCAAACGATTCGCCATTCATTTCCTCCTGGTAATCTCCAGTTTTCTTAGACTCAAAGCACCACAGACCGTCAAAAACAAATCCATCCTCACTGCCAATATGGCAGATAATGAGCCTTTTCCCTTTACCTGGAAATCGAAGTACGAACTGGTGTAGATT